TGTATATTTCTTAGGGAAAGGTTTTTATTTCTTTTGTCTGATGTATTTCTATCTGTAGATGTCCAGTGGTCTTATGGCCAGTGTGAATAATGTCTTTTATTTTATATAGTATATATTATGTGATATAGTATACAATGTATTGCAAATGTGTGGATTCTTGTTTATTGACCTATGTCAGGGATTCTGTTTGTTATTTTTATGTGTATGGGCATTTGTCTGCATGTGTGTCTTGGGCACCATGTTCATACCTGGTGCCTGCAGAGGTTAGAAAAGGCCACCAGATTCCACCGAGCTGGAGACCACAGAGATGGCTATGAGCTGCCATGTGAGTGCTGGGAATTGAACTTGGGTCTTTTGGAAGGGCAGCCATGCTCTTAATCCCGGAGCCCCTGTGTCAGGAGTCTTGTTAGACTTCCTCTGTCTCTCTTCCTCTTCCCCTCTCTCTAAAGGTTGTGTGAAGAGTTTAACAGCATAAGATTATTTTTGGTGTGTGTATGTATGTTACATGTTCATGTGGGTGGGTGTGGAGACCAGAGGCAACCTTGAGTGTCATTTCTCAGGACAGTGTTCACATTGTTGTTTGTGACAGGGTCTTTCACATTTACCTGGAACTCATCGCTTAGGCAGGAGTGACTGCCCAGCAAGCCCCAGGGATCCTTTGGTTTCTGCCTTCCCACTGCTGGGATTATAGACTCATCACTACACCTGGCTGGTTTTTATTTTGTGCCTTTTAAATGAGGGTTCTAGGGGATTAACTCGGGGCTTCATGTGTGCATGGGAGCACTGCACTGACTGAGCTAACTCCATGGGAGCACTGCACTGACTGAGCTAACTCCCCAGCACAATTTTTAAATTAAAAATGTTTGGACTGGATAGAATTTCAAACATGACCTTGGTGGACAGTGGCAGTCAGTGTCCTTCTTCAGGTCTGACTAGGAAGCCATGCTTCTAAGACATTTTCTTTCTTTCTTTCTTTCTTTCTTTCTTTCTTTCTTTCTTTCTTGTTTTTCGAGACAGGGCTTCTCTGTGTAGCTTTGGAGCCTATCCTGACACTTGCTCTGTAGACTAGGCTGGCCTCGAACGCACAGAGATCTACTTGTCTCTGACTCCCAAGTTCTGGGATTAAAGGCATGTGCCACCAACGCCAAGTGAGCAATTGCTTTCTAATTTATTTGTTAATAGTTTTTTTGTATATATATGTACATACACACACACACACACACACACACACACACACACACACACTCACATGCATACACATACATATAGTGTGTCTGACCTCTGACAGGGTCCTTTTCCTGTTCTCTGCTGTCCAGGCTACCCAGCCCATGGGCCTCCAGGGACTCTACTGTCTCCATCTCCCAGTTTGCTGTAGCCATGCTGGGATTACAGACACACGCTGTCTGGCCAGCTCTGTGTGGGCTCTGGGGATTGAGCTCAGGACCTCAGGTGCTGCTGAGCCATCACCCAGTCCCCACAGCGCATGCTTCCTTAACACACACCACTGGCTATGCCTTCCCTTTGATCTGTTGATGGAGTAAATTATACTCACAGGGCTTTCAAATTTAAACCATCCTGAAATGTAATTTACTTTATCCAGCCTGTCATTACAAAACTATTCACCTATCAGACTGGCAAAAATCTGAGAGTTTTGTTTGGGGTTGGAGAGATGGTTCAGTGACTAAGTGCACTGGATGCTCCAATGGAGGCTTCCTGTTAGATTCCAAGCACCTACACTGTGGGTCACAACCCTCCACAACTCCAGTTTCAGGGAATTGGGCGCCCCCTTCTGGTCTCTGTGGGCACTAGGCATGCATATGGTGCTCATACATACATGCAGGCAGAACACCCATGACAAATTAAGAGGAAATTCTCTGTGTATTACACGTGCTGTGTTACTCTGACTTTGCCTCTCTTGGATGTGGGTCTTGTGTTTTTTGATGTGGACTGGTTTTTTATCTTGATTCCTTTAGTCATAGCAGCTTGCACTAATTATGTCAGCTTTCTTCATGAAGACTCTCTCTCTTTCTGATATTGACTTGGGACATCTTAGGCACACACCAAACTTTCCTGTATACATGTATCTGCTTTGGAGTTCTAGTTCTCTAGCCCGCTGTTCCATTTGTCTAGTTTTAGGCCATTGACATGCTGTCTTATGTTTCTTTATTTTAATCAATTTGTGATAAGATCTGTGGTATTCCTTGTAGTATGCTGTAATATGTAATATGTTGTATGTAACATATAATACTAAATATGTTGTAAAACAGTCTCATGTGGACTGAGATGGCTTGGAACTCGCTATGTGGCTGGGGACGATTGAAGTCACAATACTCATGCTGCCCCGCCATCCCAAGTGCCGGCATTACAGTGTGTCAGACCTTTAAACTCTGGCTCTTGGGAATACATTTCGATACATGGTGTCTTTGGAGCCTATCCTGGCACTCGCTCTGGAGATCAGGCTGGACTCGAACTCACAGAGATCCGCTTGCCTCTGCCCGAGTGCTGGGGTTAAAGGCGTGCACCACCAACTCCTGGCGCTCAATTTTAATATTTTTATTTATCTTCTGAGAAGTTTGTACAACGTATCTTAACATATTCTTTCCCCTCTCCCGACTCCTCCCTGCTGCCACCAAAACCATGGAATCTGATTTGTTTTGGTCGGCTGCTACTCAGCATGACGCCTGCCCTTAAGTGTGGGTGACACACACAATGCCACTCCATGCTACCCTTCCATCCCCCCCTCTCTAGCAGCCACTGACTGCAGGTGGCTTCTTGGCTGGTTGAGGGACTTCTTCACTCCCCTTCTCCATTCTGGGATTTTGGGTTTTAGACTCCTCTCCAGGACTCCTAGGCAAGTACTCTTGTGTGAGTGCTGGGTGCTAGCTGAGGCCAGAGGGTCTCATCTGCTCTCTCGGTTCAGACTGGAACTCTTCATGTGAGATCTTTGGTGGTTTTAGTAAGAAGAGCACAGCATTCATGAGTTTATGTTGGAAAACTTGTCTTTATGATGTACATGGTTTCCATCTATGCAGAGTTTTTTTAATTTATTCATGTTTTCATCACAGTAGCTTTAATTTTTTCCCATAGAAACTTATACATTTTAGTTTTCTCTTTATTTCTGGGTATTTCAAAATGTTGTTGCTATTGTGAATATGATTTTTCCAGCTATTTCCCCCTCATACACTTCATCTCTCTGGGTGTTCAAATGCTTCTTCTGTCTCTAAATCTTCTAGAATTATATTTGAAGTCAGACCACAAGGAGGGAGGCAGGATCCTTACTCACTAGGGGAAAGGAAGGTTCTGGAAAGACTGCTTTGAGCAGGGTCTCATGCAGGCAAGGAGTGACCTGTGAGTTGTTGGTTGGGAAGGGAACAGGCAGCAGCTGTGTGGTGAGGTCCAAAGGCCTGAAGGATCCTGTTTCTTGGGAGCTGGGAACAGGCAGATTGAGTTGGATTCACTGTCTCTGCAAGACTGAGCTGTGATCCAAGGTAACTTCTATCCCCAGAAATAAGTTGTTAGATTATAATTGGTGTGCATTAAAAAGAAAACCTTTACCAGGTGATGGCTTTTCCTCTCTTGCTATGATAAAACTCAGACAAAGAGCAACTTAGGGAGGAAAAGTTTTCTTTAGCTTCCAAGTTATAGTCTGTCACTGAAGGAAGTCATGGAAAGAGCCCAGGCAGGAAGGAAGTCATGGAAAGAGCCCAGGCATTTTCTTTGTGTGTCTGGTTTCTTTTGCCCAGCATTGTGCTTTGAGAGTCACATGTTGATTTAGCTAGCTGGCTTTTGTTTTGTTTTGTTCATTTGTTTGTTTTTGAGACAGGGTTTCTCTGTGCAGCTCTGGCTGTCCTGGAATTCACTCTGTAGACCAGGCTGGCCTCGAACTCACAGAGATCCCCCTGCCTCCTCCTCCTGAGTGCTGGGATTAAAGGTGTGCACCACCAACGCCCAGCAAGATGTTCTTTTCTCATACGAAGGGCTGCAGAGACAGCTCAGTCAATTTAGTGCGTGCTTTGCAAGCATGGGGATCTGAGTTCAGTCCCCAGAACATGTATTAAAAGTAGATTTAATCTAGTTCAAACATAGATTTTTAAAAAAGCCTGCCACGGTGGGGAATGCTTGTAATTCCAGTGCTGGGGAGGCAGAGACAGGTAGATAGATCCCTGGAGCTCACTGGCAGCCAGCCTAGCCTATTTCATGAGCCCCAGATTAGAAAGAAGTCCTGTTTCAAAACTAGGAAAGTCAATAAATAAATGAATTAAATAAAATAAAAATAAATGAATGGCCCTTGAGGACCAATAGCTGGGGTTGTCTTCAGGCCTCTACATGCTTGTGCAAAGCACACACACATACACACACATATACATCACCACAAAAACATGCACACACACACACACCTGAAAACATGGATTATAGTTTTAACAACAATAAACCTGTTTTACTGGTTGGAGAAAAAGTCCTTTTATAAATCTAGACTTTGGGTCCCCAGGATTCACACAAAAGCTGCATGGTCAGGCTTGGCAGCCTGCCTGTAATTCCAGCACCAGGAGGCAGAGACAGGAGAGCCCCGGAGCAAGCTAGCTAGGTGACTTAATCTAACCAGTGGGCTCTGGGTGCAGCGAGAGGCCCCACCTTAATATGTAAGGTGAAGCCAGATTGAGGGCACCTGATTTTAACCTCTGACTCACACATGCATGTGCACACGAATGCACATGTACCTGTACATAGAGTGTGGCCAAATACATGCTTATGTACATGCTGGCCCTCTTCTGGCCTCTGAGGGCACTGCACACACACACACACACACACACACACACACACACACACACACACACACACACACACACACCAAAGAAAAACACAGATAAGCTTTGCTAAAGCCCCCACCTGAGCTCTGCATCTTTGTTCCACAAAGCAGGGTCAAATGTGGACTTGAAGCAAAAAGTTCTGACGTGCTGTTTTGTGTCCCCTCCCTACCCCCATCGATGGTTTCCAGTGAGATGAGTCAGAAAATGGCCAAGGAGGGCCCCAGGCTCTCCAAGAACCAGAAGTTCTCAGAGCACTTCAGCATCCACTGTTGCCCGCCCTTCACCTTCCTCAACTCCAAGCGTGAGATCGTAGACCGCAAGTACAGCATCTGCAAGAGCGGCTGCTTCTACCAGAAGAAGGAGGAGGACTGGATCTGCTGTGCGTGCCAGAAGACAAGGTGAGCCGGGGGCTCCGGGCCAGGTCTGCGCCACAGCCCCTGCTCCAGGACCGTCAGCTCTCGGTTAGGAAGGCGCTGGAGGGCAAGCAGAAGGCGGGAGGGAGGGCAGGGCTTTCCTGCTGTGTGCAGCTCCGGCCAGCATAGCATCCTTTAAGAATCGGTGCAGAGCCCGGGCCCAGCCTCCAGCTTCTTTTGGCCCTCTCTGCACCAGCCGTCGTGCCAGGTCCCCTCAGAGGCCCAAGCACCAGCCAGCTGCATCCCCCGTGGTGGTCAGAGCGCCGCCAGCCAAGCCAAAGTCCCCTCCGAGGCCAGCCAAGCCAAGGTCCCCTCCGAGGACTGAGCGCCAGCCGCGTCCCCGCCCAGAGGTCCGACCACCACCAGCCAAGCAGAAGCCCCCTCAGAAGTCCAAGCAACCAGCACGCAGCAGCCCCATCAGAGGGCCGGGCGCCAGCCGTGGGGGGTCTCCCACCAGAGCTCCTAGGTTCTGGTAACACCATCTCTTGCCTTTTGTCTCCCCCTAGCCTAAGGTCAGTAGCGGCTTTCTGCAAGTACTAACATGCGGGATCTCTCCACGGTACCGAGCCTGTGTAATCAATCCATTCCCTCCATTAAACCCCCTCTGTTTGAAACACCTGGCGTGGCTTCTGTTTTTGCTCCCAGATGATTCTTGGTCCTCGCTTCTGATGGCCGAGTCAGTGCCATCCCACAGGACTGCAAGTCACTAATTTACCAGCTCGAACTATATTGACCACAGTGGCAGTCTGTCCCTCCCCGTCTTGTGCCTCAGAGAGGAGAGGGGACACGGACAAGCTCTGTCTGTGCCTGTGTGAAAGGAGAGGGCTCACCGTTCCATTTGCTCACCCCTCCTGACACATGTCATCGTATATTAGCCTCGGTGGCAATGCCACCATTCTTTTGCTCAGCCAGTCACTCAGCAAACCATACTGCCTATCTATAAGGTTTCACATGCTGTGTTGGGGAAAGGAATATAATTTGTGATTTCTGGTACCAAGGAAGAGACTAGCTGGTCACGGTGTAGAGAATAAACACGCCAGTACCGCCATACTCAGGATGCATATGGCCTGTGGAAGCCCCAGACAGAACTGTACCAGCTCTGCCGTGGGAGTCTGAGACTTCACAGAAAATTAGGCTGGAGAGGGCAAACCGGAGAAGGATGGCCAGAGAGGCATCTGTCTACCTGCTCTGCCTCAGGTGGACGGGTTTTTCCTCTTCTTTGTTTTTTTTTAATAATTTGTTTAAATTTATTTTATGTGCATTGGTGTGAGGGCATCAGATCCCCTGGAACTGGAGTTACAGACATTTGTGAGCTGCCATGTGGGTGCTGGGAATTGAACCCAGGTCCGCTAGGAGAGTAGCCAGTGTTCTTAACCACTGAGACAGCTCTTCAACCCCCTTCTTTTCTCCTCCTCCTCCTCTTCCTCCTCTTTTGGTTTTTTCGAGACAGGCTTTCTCTGTAGCTTTTTGGAGGCTGTCCTGGAGCTCCCTCTGTAGACCAGGTTGTACTCACAGAGATCCACCTGCCTCTGCCTCCCAAGTGCTGGGATTAAAGGCGTGCACTACCACGGCCCGGCTTCTTTTCTTCTTGTGGAGACAGGGTCTCACACCATAATTAAGCATAGCCTGGAGCTTACTCTGTAAACTCATTAAGCTCCTACTGCTTTAGACTCCCCAATGCTTGGGTTTCTGGCTGGCCACCATGCTTGGTGGTGACAGCCCCTCCTCTTCCTCCTCCTTCTTCTCTGCAGACTTCATTTTTGGTGCAGTTTTAGGTCTACAGCAAAACTGAGGGAAGATAGAATTCCAATCCCTGCCCACATACACATGGCCGACAACATTTTACTCTTTGGGCATAGATTTGTTTGGTGAGTCAGTGGTGAGCACTAGCTGTGACTGCATCCTCTCCACTCTGCTCTCAGGCCCTGTGCAGCATTCTGGAACCCTCCTGAGAATTTCATTCAAGCGTCGCCAGTGAAGCTTGGGGGTGTCTTCATTTTCAGACACAGCAAACAAGCCTGATTTAAATAACCCTAAATAAATGACATCATCTGTGGCAGCCGCCATGTTTGTGATACCCCAAACAAAAGCCTTGGTGACATGCAAGGTCAAGTCATTTACCTAGCAAAGGGACTAACTGGCTACTAAAACCTTAGCAGAGAGGTGAACCCAGTTTGATTGGTCACTAGGTCCCTCCAAGGGACTGCAGTAAAAAGTCAGTTCATCTGGCTGATACACAGAACAGGGTAGAGAATGTAGGCAGTTGAGGTCATTAATTTATAAACAAAAAGCACCCCTTTGAGGAAAGTCAGTCCCTGGCATTTTGGGTACGAGTTGGAATGGAAAGGACATAGAAGACCGTGAGAATAAGCTCCATCTCAGACACGGGTTTGTTTGGACCAGCCTCGCTCACTATAGTCACCAAACTCAGAGACATCAGGCAAGCTGTCTCCACAGGCTGTGTGTGCCTGTGCCATACCTCCCAGGAATCAGGACTAAGGTCACACTATCCTGCCCGCTCTGAGCCCCACACAAATACTCACTTCTGCTTCTCTGAACCCCAGAGACCCCAAGGCAGGGTGCTAGAATAGGTATTTAACCACTGCACTGTTCCTTCATTGATCTGATTGACTATTTCAGACCAGACGCTAGGAGGCACACTAACAGGAAGGAACTGCTTACACCCACTCCATCAGGGCAGCTAGGCGGGACCTTTAAAAAGGTTCAAAGGAGGTTTTTGGAAACTGGCATACTTTCAGATGCGACGCCATTCCTGAGGTATTGTGTGGAGAGGTCAGACAACTTAGATAAAGGCCTTTTTGGATCTATAACAACTCCTTTGAGTGGGTCGCATCCAGAAACGAGAGAATAACCCGATTCTAGGAACGAATGGGCTTGGTTTCCCACATCTCAACGGAAGGTTGGAGCATCTCCTTGTCAATGGGAGGTGGTCCTGGCATGTCCCTTTTAGTTTATACTTTCCCAGGTCTTTGAGATTTAAGATTATGGAGCTGTCACTGTAAGACACTGTCACTGTACGAAATTGGAGCCACAGCCCAGAGAAACCAGGTCACCCAATTAGAAAAGTACCTTTTCATAACTTCAACTTTCACCATTCATTATTACTAGTAAAAAAAAAAAAGTAGTTTACTTTTGCACATCGATCTTATATATTGTGATTTTCCTTACTCTGTTTGTTTGTTTGTTTTTGGTAGAGCCTGTATTTTATAATTTTATACATCATAATCATGCCCTTCCATAGAGACAGTTGCACACTTCAATCCGCATACCTAAGTGTGTATGTTTGGCACTGCTGTCTATGCTGAAAACTTATTTTGAGATATGGCTTGGTGTCTTCAAGGTTTATTGCCAAGCTAGAGGATGACCCCAGACGTGCTTTGGAATACTGGCAGGAGTTCTGACTCCTGCTAGACTCTCTGTGGCAGCAATTGTCAGTCATTAGATACCTGCATCACCCTGGTGGTCAGTGGGAGAACGCACCGTGAGCGCTGGGACTCAGGTTATGTGACAGATTCAACTCTGATGAGCATTTAGAGCCAGTCTGTTTTTGGAGGAGCCCGCACTCCTATGGAGATCTCCCACGAATGGACTTAGGTTACAGCTTCTCCAACCCTGCACGGCCCTGAGCTGTTTGTTTCTTCTGCTCTGTTAGATGGGAAATCTTTGTAACTTCAAGATTTCAAAGCTATGTTTAGAATCAGATGAGGGCATTTTACCTGAGGATTGACTCTCATGGGCTACTGTCCTGTAATCTTCCTATTTTGTGTGGTGGGGATAAATGATGTGTCTGGTATCTCCCGGAGGCAGAGCATTCTTCTCTTGCATCTAGGGAGCCCCTTTGTCTCATGACCCCTCACACTTCCTGCTGAGCAGATGGCTGTCCTCTGCATGGACTTATTTACCTCTGTGTCTCCCTTGCAGGGCTGTGTGTGATCAGGCAATCTTACACGCATCTCTCCAGAGCCCAGCTCAGGGTTTGGCTGATGTTAATGACTGAATGAGACCAAATGATATATCTCACAGTCTGACACAGCACAAGGTGGACATCAGCATCAGGTTTGAGTCCGAGCTTTTAGGTAAACTGTGACCATTGCTTGTCTGGGCCCACATATTTGTAACTAATTTACTCAATGTTGCTTATATTTTTGAATGTAGTTCATTCCTATTAAATTAGGGACATGTCAACCTGGTCAGAATTTTATGAGTTCATACACTCTCCATGTATGTCCACATGCTTCCATTTAAGTCCGTGGTATTATCAGTCACTGTTTTCATTGCTGTGACGAGCTGTCTGGGAAAGCGATGTTAGGAAGGTTCGTTTTTGACTCACAGTTTGAAGGGACACAGTGCATCGTGGCAGGAAGTCATGGTGGCAACAGTGTGAGGCAGCTAGTCCCATGGCATCCACAGTCAGGAAGCAGAGAGAGAGAGATGAACACTGGCGCTCAGCCCACTTTCTCCTTCATATTCAATCCCAGACTGTGATCTGATGAGTCTTCTCATTTAAACCTTTCTGGGAACACCTACACACACACACACACACACACACATATGTATACACACACACATGTATATATATACACATGCACACACACATATATATACATGCACACATACACACACATACACACACATACACACACATATATATACACATGCACACATACACACACGAGCACACACACATGCACACATACACACACATATATATACATATGCACACACACATGCACACATACACACACAAGCACACACACACAATAAAAATAAGTAATCCTTTAAAAAGGTTCTTGAAGTCACAGTTGTATTAAATACTGTACAGGAAGTGGACACCACTTACCAGTTTGTAAAATTTTCTTTTTCTCTTCATAAATCAGATTGAAAAGGAGGAGCAGGTCAACCCCAAGAAAAAAGTGACGGAGAAGGGATTTCCCGTGAATGGACAGCCTCCTCCTGTGGACTCACCTCTTCGCAAGCATCGGCCCTCAGCCAAGCTCTCCCTCCGGCCTCGAGTATGAGGCAGGGTCAGACCCTGCTGATGCGACATCTGCAGATGCCCTCAGTCCTCCTGGTATGGGAGCCTCAGGGCAGCCTGCCTGGAGGTGAGGAGGGGCCTCTTTGCACCACACTCCAGTCACAGAGTCCTGAAAGGACCCTGTAGAAGGGGACTTTCCTCCATCTTTTCTGGTCCCACTGGACTGGTTTTCTCTCCACCCACGGGGTCCCCGCAGCTGCTTATGAAATAACCACCCTGAGGCTGACTATCAGTCACAGTTGTTTGACCAATGGCTCAGGCTTCTTCCTGGCTAGCTCTCTCTTAAATACCAACCCATCTCTATTAATGTGGTGTCACCACGTGGTTGTGGCTTTCTGGTGATGCCCTTGCATCTTGCTCCCCCCACCCCACTACATAGCATCTCCTTGACCCTGCCTTCCTTCTCTCTGTGTCTTTGCT